GTTAGAGAGGCTAAGACCCGATTAGTTCAAAAGAGGGAGCAAGGCTAATTACCGAGTGAACTCAAGTATCATGAGAGAGTTAGGCTAATAACCAAGTCGATCACACCTATCGTCGAGAGCAAGGCCGTGGCGAAGCCGTGATCGAGACAAGTCGAGGGTAACGGAACACACGATCCTTTATCATTGGTGCTTTCATTGAGAGTGATTGATTGTGTGTTCGTTAACTTTTTCTATCCCATTCTTTTTCTTTTTGTTCGAATTTCTTGAGTCTTTTTGTTCGAACTTTTTCGAACTTTCTCCAAAATTTTTGAAAAATTTCGTGAGTATCAAAAAAAAAAAAGTGTCATCTAGTCCTTTGTTTGATTTTTTTTGGGTTATTACCTTTTGTTGAGGGGCTGAATTTCTTTTGTTTTATTTTTCCTTTTTGGTTCGACTTTTGTTCGAATATTTTTTTAGAGTCTCAAAAAAAAAATGTCTTATGTACCAATGGACGAGATGGATTGGGAAGATCTCGAATTGTTAGAGAGTTTGGAGAGAGAACTTACTCCATGGGAGAGCACATATCTAGACAAACTCCATGAACGAAGAATCGAGAAGAGTACGAGCGACAACTCGTAGAAGGCCGAGGAGCAATGGAGGGTTGAGTTCAAAACCATGAAGATGATGGTGCACTAAATTTTCTAATCCTTGAGGACAAGGAAAGTCTTGAAGAGGAGGGGAATGATACAGAAGTGGTCATCAACCCAGGCGAGACCGACGAGGAAGGTGACGATGATCTCGACATATGGTTGGAAAATGTGCTGGAGGAGCCGACAAGTCTAATATACCGGCCATCATGTGTACGAGGTTGGCCAAAAGGATGTGGTTCGCAATCCAACCTTAAGCCGAAGAAACGTAGGACCAAACGAGCTCGAAGGAAACGCAAGGTGAAAGCTAAGGAATCAAGTTGTTGGTGCAAGCCTTGTGCAAAGAAAAGGCGAGCACGAAAGAAGGAGGCTAGAAGGCGTGGATTGCGATGGGTTGACAAAGGGTGGTGGATACCGGCGAACGACTGTGAGAGGCTGAAAGGTTGGGATCCATGGCCCGAGCCAACGGATATGACCGGCAACAAAGAGGACGACGGAGGTCGGCTAATGGGCGAATGGCGCGCATCGGACCATGATGCGCGCGGTTGGACGGAACAAGATGATGGACGCGGGGCAGCCAAGCAGACCACGGACGTCGACTGGGACGCGCTGGCGTTCGGCGAGGAAGGCGCGGGGCGCGATAGGCGCACGAATGAGCGGTCTGCAGGAGTGAG